ATCCCGGGTCTTATCACCAAAGTCCTTGGGCGGGTTGAAGAGGCTTCCAAGGAATCCTCCCTTGCCGCCAGAATGTCCCTGGTGAGTTATTGCCAACCCGACCTTGTCCGTCGTAGTTGGGGAGAAGTAGCAATCTCCCAACCCCTTGGGGGAGGTTTACAGCTCCTTGAGCTCTCAGAGCTTCAAAGGGCTGCTGCAGCTTCCATCTTGCCTCCACCAGAAGTCAACCTTCAAAGAAGAGTTAGTTACCTATCTAGGGGAGATAATGAATAATACTCTGAAGGATGCTGAAATGCCGAAGACCTGGCGTGAGGCATACATATCATTAATCCATAAAGAAAATACCAAACCCACAAAGATGAAAAATTATTGGCCTATCTTCCTTTTGAATTGTGATTATAAAATATTCACAAGCATACTAGCAGAAAGATTCAAAACATTATTAAGAGGGAAAATTAAAGAAGACCAAAGAGGATTTCTCCCAGGTAGGCAGATGAGAGATAATATAAGGGTAATTCTCAATATTGTGGAGTATTATGAAAAAAACCATCAAAAGGAATTAGGATTGCTCTTTCTCAACGCTGAAAAGGCCTTTGATCATACGAATTGGAATTTCCTATTAACCACCTTAAAGGAAATGGACATTGGCTATTCTATATTAAACGCCATAAGGGCCATATATTCGGGACAATCAGCGAAAGTACTAGTAAATGGTTTACACACCGAAGAAGTTGAAATCCAAATAGGGGTGAGACAGGGATACCCCTTATCCCCTCTGTTATTTATACTTGTATTAGAAGTTTTGTTAGAAGACCTAAAAATGGACAAAGAACTTAAAGGGCTTAAAATCAGATCAGAAGAATATAAAATCTTAGCATTCGCGGACGACGTGGTATGTATTACGGAAAACCCAGTGGAGTATATTCAAAAATGGATATCTAAAATTGAAATTTTTGGGAAATTAGCGGAACTCAAGATTAATAGAAATAAAACTATTGGTGAAAGATAATATGGTCAAGTGGGCCAGGGACATAGGCCATTCCATACTGCTAAGCGAATGGGAACAGGTGTGGAAAACCAAGATAAAATTCACTAGAGCCATCAGTATAGTAGAGAACTGGTACAAAGTATTTTATAGATGGCACCTGACACCAGTACAACTTGCCAAATTTAACAAGAACTGTAGCACATTATGTTGGAAGTGTGGGAAGGAAGCGGGAACCTGCTTCCACTTGTACTGGAATTGTAAGAAGATTAAAAAAAATGGCTAATGGTGCACAAACACACACAAAACATCATAAAAACTAAATTTGATATAAAACCGGAATATTATCTACTGAACATAACAGATCTAGAATTGAAGAAGAATGAAGAAAAAATTCTCTTCTACCTATCTTCGGTGGCAAGAATCCTAATAGCACAGAAGTGGAAAAACAAGGAAATTCCATCTAAGGAAAACTGGTTAAAGAAAATAACTGATTTTAAGGACTCAGATAGACTTTCGTATCAATTAGAGGACCAGAATAAGGCTACACAAACTAATTGGAAATACCTGGGAGAATACTTGAAAGATAAAATTAAATTGGACATATAAGGTTCTATGGGCAAGAAGAACAGGAATCTTAACTGGAATGAAAAGAACTATATAGTGAATTGATTACTCCTCTGTGGACTGAACGGAAGCAAACGCACACATGTCTACCCTTTACCCTCCCCCTACCTTCTTTTACCATTTCTACCCTGCTCCTCATTTCTTCCTTCCCTTTCTATCTGTCTTTCCCTCATGGTCTGTCCAAAATTTCATATCTTTCTATCACGATGATTGTTCCCCCTCTTTCACTGTAAAGGAAAATCTTATAAAAATGAAAAAAAGTCTACTTAAAGTGATGGCCCATGAGCAATTGTCAATCCATAAGCTATTGACTGTTGATTCATGGCATGTTTCTGGGCAACAAAGACAGTTGCAGTTAATAGGCACAAACATGATGCTAGTCTTTGGCACTTTAGAAAAAAATGATCCAGTCATCCACATCAAATGATTAGAAAGCACAATTTGAAACTTTCATTCCACAACTTAATTCCAATACAAATCAGGTAAGAAGTACATGCAAACTGACTAAAAGCAAATGGACACTTTAAAAAGGGCTTTATGAAATTAGCCCTAAATCAATAACTGGAAGAAAGGGGTGGCAAAATCTCCTGTGACTGCCTTTCCTGTTATTTAATTTTTCACCCAAGCACTCCAAAAAGGATTTGGAATACCTTTGAGTAAAAGCACAGATTTCTTTTGAGTTTTCATCCATGGTAAGCATTATTTCCTACACAGGGGTATTTATAAAATGGAAATATTTTGCTCCATTTAGCTTACATTTTATGAGTTTCTCAAAGATCTCATTATTATGTAAGTACTTGCATCCCACCCCTGAGGAATAGAGATAGTTTACTTCTAATGCTTTCTCCCTTTCTCCTTCGCTATATTTAAAGAGTTCTCCTGGAAGAAGGGAACAGACCTTGGTGTTCTTGAAGGAAAACATCTAAATTTCCCTTGCCAATGAACAGATACGCCTGAAAGGAGGTAGGGTTCTCTCAATATGAAATATTTTCTTGATGTTAAGTTTTATTTTCTATTGTTATCATGTCTCTCTCTGTCTCTTTTCACATTTAACATGAACACACAATTTCTCCTTTAAAGATTTTGATTTCTTTTTTGCCATTCATCTTAACCAAAATGCTGTTTTGATATCATGTTTACCAAAGAGCACTCTCTTTCCATAATACTGGACCCCTCTCTCACTCACTCTCTTCCTGTCATGCATGTGCATGCTTGTGTGCACTGATACACACACATATTTATGTGCTGCTGCATAAGACAGAACTGGGGGCACCAGATTAGTTCTAATATAGAATTGCTAGAGATGCTAGTTAGTATTTTTCCAGCATGGGAAACATCTCAGATTTATCCCAAACATACTGATTAAACATGCAAAAAACAGATGTAAAGAAGCAGTTATACAACCACAGTAATATTGCAAGGACACATATAACTGAGTTCCCTATAAGTGTGCCTATAAGTGTGGAGACAAACACTTGTGATGAGTGGATTGAATGAATTAAATGCTTGGGCACTTCCAAGACTGAAGACATCATCATAAAAATGAAACCTGGAAAACTGCATTATGGATAACAAAGGAAGTGAAGAATTCATTAGCTTTGGCATGTAAAGTGCTAATGAGAAAACTACTAAACTGATGAGAACTGACCTGAGAACTCTGGCTACCAACAACACATGTTTATATAGTCAAAAACAATAGCTCTTTAAGGTAAAGAAATTAAAAAAAAAAACTATCTGTTCCAAAACTGATGAGGCTTCAGCAAAATCTGAGCTTTTTTTTTATTATTAAACTTTATTTGTACCCCACTAGCATCTCCCGAAAGACTCTATGCGGCTTACAAAGGCCAAGGCCTCAACACACAATATAACAATACAAAACCCAAGGCAAATTAAAAACAATTAAAGCGATATAAACAACAAGTGATAAACAATCCATTAAGACACAATAAAACTGGGCCGGGGCAGAGTAATGGGTACAGGATTAAAAGTGCTGATGTGACAGGAGGTGTATAAGGCTTATAGGGCAAGTGCAGTGTGCAGTGTGCGTCAATCTTAGTTTTAATAAAGTGCTTATGGGACTTGGTATTGGAGGTTTCCTATTCTGGGAAGGCACCTATTGGAGGTTTCCTATTCTGGGAAGCCAGGTCTTCAAGTTCTTTCTGAAGACTGCCAATATAGGGGCCTGTCTAAGATCTTTGGGGAGGGTGTTCCAGAATCGGGGGGCCACCACAGAAAAGGCCCTGTCTCGTGTACCCACCAAACGCGCTTGTGACGCAGGCGGGATCATGAGCAGGGCCTCTCCAGATGACCGAAGTGGCAACAAGAATGATTGACAACTGAGAAATAAAGGGAGAAAATGTGGAGGCCGTGACAGACTTTGTATTTCTAGGTACAAAAATTACTGCAGATGCAGACATCAGCCAGGAAATCAGAAGACGCTTACTTCTTGGGGGGAGAGCAATGTCCAATCTCGATAAAATGGTGAAGAGTAGAGACATCAGACTGGCAAAGAAGATCCGCATAGTCAAAGCAATGGTATTCCCTATAGTAACCTATGGATGTGGAGCTGGACAATAGGGAAGGCTGAGCGAAGGAAGATAGATGCTTTTGAACTGTGGTGCTGGAAGAAAGTTCTGAGAGTTCCTTGGACTGCGAGAAGATCCAACCAGTCCATACTTTAGGAAATAAAGCCCGACTGCACATTGGAGGGAAGGATATTAGAGACAAAGTTGAAGTACTTTGGCCACATCATGAGGAGACAGCAAAGCTTAGAGAAGACAATTAAGCTGGGAAAAATAGAAGGAAAAAGGAAGAGGGGCCGACCAAGGGCAAGATGGATGGATGGCATCCTTGAAGTGACTGGAAGGAACTTGAAGGAACTAGGGATGGTGACGGCTGACAGGGAGTTCTGGTGTGGGCTGGTCCATGAGGTCACGAAGAGTCGGAGACAACTGAATGAATGAACAACAATGCCAAAATAAACCCCATCTATGTTTTACCTAAGCATGAAAATAAGAGAAGAAAAGGACGCCCGACTGTAGATTGATTGTATTGTCGAAGGCTTTCATGGCCGGAATCACTGGGTTGTTGTAGGTTTTTCTGGGCTATATGGCCATGTTCTGGAGGCAATTTTTCTCCTGACGTTTCCCCTGCATCTATGGCAAGCATCCTCAGAGGTACTGAGACCTCACTACCTCTGAGGATGCTTGCCATAGATGCAGGCGAAACGGCAGGAGAAAAATTGCCTCCAGAACATGGCCATATAGCCCGGAAAAACCTACAACAAACCTGTAGATTGATTGTTCATTATTCTGCTGCAGAGCTGGGAAGTAATTTTTCCTTTGTCTGTTTCCTTGCAGGAGTGTGTTCTCCAGAATAAACCTTCGAAATGACAACATTCAGCAAGTCACTGCTCTCTTCTGTGAATGCTTCCTTGGAATATAATGCAACCGAGAATATAATGCATTATAACGAGTCACAAAATGAAAAAACATTCCCTAACAACTGGGCATATCTCGGAAGCATCATCAATAATACACACATTGATAATACATTCCCAGAAATTACCAATTATTCTTATATAATAAGCACCATCTTGTTTCTCATCTGCCTTCCTGGACTTGTAGGGAATGGAATTGTCATTTGGCTTCTTGGCTTCCGTATTAAAAGGACTCCCTTCACCACATACGTTTTGAACCTTGCCATTGCAGATTTTGCTGTGCTCAACAATCAAATTATAGTAGATATAATTTATCTTAACCTTCTTTCAGTTTACTTCAATAACTTCAACTATGAGATATTTATGTTTTCATTCACTACTAGTCAGTACCTCATGACAATCATCAGCATTGACAGATGTGTGTGCCTCTTCTTCCCGCTTTGGTATCGATGTCACCGGCCACCACATTTATCCACCTGTGTGTGTGTCATTGTATGGATCTTCAGCCTCTTAATTACTGCTATAAATCTTTCCACTGGATATGGTATCATAACATACTTACGGTTTGTCTTGAATGCTGTGGTTTGCATGCCCATCATGTGTGTGTCCACTACAGCCATTTTTATTAAATTCAGATTAAGACCAGCACAAAAGAAGGGGAAACTGTTAAGAACCATTTGGCTTACACTTTTCTTCTTCCTCCTTTTGGCTTTTCCATTAAATATAATTCAGGTCCTTTGTCTATTTCATCATCCAACTGAGTATTCACATGAATATGGCTACCTGTGTGTCTTCTTAAACAGTGCCATTAACCCCATGATCTATTATTTGGTGGGAAGAGATAAAAGAGGGAGATCCAGCAAGCAAATCAAGAAAGTGTTTGAGAGACTTTTCAAGGAAGAGGAAGACTGTCGAGAGAATCAGGAAATCTGATCCCAAACACTTGTAAGGACCCTTTAACAAGTTAGTCATTTGTAAATGTATAAGAAAAAGGGATTCTAGTTTTTGCAATGTTTAGAAAGTTTTATTTCTTTCAAAAAGTCAATGAGATATATACACCTGTTTCCAAAGTATGCAAATATTACTGCTTACGATTGCAATGCTGAGTCCCATCTAGCTTTCAAAGATTAAAGCAGTTGTTATTACTACAAGGAAGTAATAGAGATAGTTAAGGCCATGGCTAGCACAGTGGGTTAAACTTGCTACTGGAATTCTTTTTGACCGGAAGATCAGCAGCAGTTTGAGCCACGGGTAGGGGTGAGCTCCTACTATCAGCCCTAGCTTCTGCATACCTACCAGCTAAAATACAGCAATGTAAGTAGATAAATAGGTACTACTTTGGCGGGGAGGTAAAAGGCACCCCTGAAAAACATGTTAGCTAATTCGATCTGGGAGGCATCCATGGGCATCAGCCTCCTCAGCATGGAAAATAGAACAACAGCACCTCCCTATGGCCAAGTCAATCACAGCCCCCAGATGCTGGAGATGAAGAAGCAGGAAGCCATCAATCTATGAATTGTCTGCTTGTGTTATTAATTGTGACTCCACTTAGAGTCCCCTTGGGGAGATTGAGCAGAATATAAATAACCTATGCTCTATTATTATTATTATTATTATTATTATTATTATTATTATTATTATCAAATATTAAAAAATCATTTCATTAGAAAAGCTCTCTTGCCAGTTTGAGATAAGGATAAGCAGAGACATTGTCATGAGGTAACATTAGCCGCTTTAGCACAGAAAATCATTTTGAAGGAAATAATGTATTGGAAATTAGAGATGGTTGGTTGATGATATAATTTGTATATCTGAACAGTATAGCCGGAGGTTTCAATCAAAGGAGATCAATCTAAAGGAAGGCAACATTGGTTTCCTTATGTGAAACCTATGGAGAGGTTTTCCCAAGGTAAGGGAAAGTAGTAGCCATGGAGTTGTATAAAGACAATAACCATGAAATTAGACAAAATTTAGAAATGGTTTTTGAAACTAATGATCGAAGGTGAACCAGTGTAAGAATGCTGGATGCTATGGGCATAATGTCCATATGTGGTATGGCAGAAAAGGTGGTCTAAAGATCAGCAACGTGGAAATTTAAAGGAAAACCTAAGTAATATGATTTGTAGATGATATGTAACCCCAAATAAGCTGTTGAACTGTTTCCAAGGGATTCAAAGCTTCTGAATGATATGACAACAGAAGACTATTTGAATGCTTAAAATAGTTTTTGGTTTTGGTTTTTAAAAATATGAAATCTAAAGATGTAACAGTAATTTGTGTCACTCATAATTGTTAATTTAAGGAGGATTATTTTATTACATTTTAAAGAGAGTAGTACTTTCCCTTGTCATTATAGCTAGGATTGTGGCTCAGGTGGCTACTGTATTTTAGCCAAAAAATAACCATATGTGTTTCTTTATTTTCTCTTTCTTCTCCTATCAGTTTATTTTAAAATGTATGTTATTTTGATTGCAAATTAGATTGTCAATGTTATAGTCAATCCATTAATAAATTGTGAGAGGAGCAAAAAAAGGAAAAAAAATATTTCTTTTCTATTTGTTCCTTTTTTTCCTCCTGTAGTTATAATGATTCTGGATGATCTTAGTAACAAAGAGGATAAGAGTGTTATAAAGAAGCTGAAACAGTTGGAATATTATAAAATAAAGGATTTATATATTGAAAGAGATGTACTAATGGAATGGAGTCAGCTAGAAAGATTAGAGGAAGAAAGATTTAGGCTAATATTAATATTAAGAGGCATTTGGGAACAAATAAAAAAGGAAGAAAGTAATATGGGCGAAAATATAATAGATAGAATATTGAAAGAACGATCCAGTGAAAATCAAAAAGGGTTAGGTAAAATATATGGAAGAATGTTAGAAGACAGGGATTTTATGTATAAAAGGATGGGAAATAGATGGGAAAAGGAAGGAGGCATAAGGAAAGAAAAAACAGATAGAATAAGGAATGGATTAAATAAAATAAAGATAGAAAAATATAGGGATCTGGAGCAGAAAGTAATAACAAAATGGTGTAGGGCACCAATGCAATTGGATCATATGATCCAGAGTCTAAATCCGAAATGTTGGCACTGTGGGAGTAGAGAAGCCTGGTACTCACATCTATGGTGGGAATGTAAGGAGACACAAAAGTTCTGGAATCAAATCTTCATAAAAATTGAATTATATACAAAAATAAAAAAATGATTTAAATATGGAGATTCTCTTAAAAGGAATTTGCGGACACAGTAAAATAAAAGCGCATGAACAAAAATTAGTTATGATGATGTTTAGAGCAGCACATGCTGTGATTGCCTAGGGGTGGAAAGAAAAAAAGAAATGGCTCCTGGGAAAATGGTATGAATATGTGTGGGAACAAGTACAATTGGAAATTATGGACATTATAAGAAATGAAAAACTATGGACAGAAAAGCAGAAGGAAATCAAATAAATATGGAACCCTTTAAAAATTGGATACAAGAAGCTAAACCAGAAGACGATCATTGGATAAAAAACTGGATAGAATGCAAGGATGGCTCGAATAAAGGAAGAAGGGCCAACTTGTCAACGGAGGAGGAGGGAGGGTTAAGGGGTGGAAAGAAAAAATGTATTGAAACTAAAGCAATGTAAAGTAAAGATAAATGTATTACTAATAGTTGTTAACAATACAATAAAGAATTTTAAAAACATGTTGAGGCTCTTAATTTTATCATGTTAGTTATGAAAATGAACATGGGCTTTCTACAAATACACGGCCAAATACAAAAGGGCTACCACAGACTCCAGGACCAGATAGGAATGATGCATTTGAAGGCTGGCATATCCTATTCTGTGGACTGGGGTCTGCTCAAGTTTTTGCTACCAAGTTTGTGCTTAAGATAATTTTTTATCATGTCAGAAGAGACTTGAGAATATATTGCAAGTCTCCTCTGGTGTGAGAGAATCAGCTGTCTGCAAGGACATTGGCCAGGGGATGCCCGGATGTCTTACCATTCTGTAGGAGGTTTCCCTCAAAGCCCCGCATGGGAATCTGGAACTGACAGACTGGAGCTCTCCCCATCTTGTATATTTGAACCACCAACCCTCAGATCTTCAGGACAGCAGTTAAGCTGGCACAGGGGTTTAATCCATTGTGCCATCGCAGCTCTGCTTAAGATGGTGGAAAGACACTGGTGCAAACACCTTCCATCTAGAAATGTATGTCCTCATTGTGAAAAACAATGCAGATCCCGAATAGGTCTCTCTCTACACTTACTTACAGATCCACCACTAAGAACTTGAAAGGCAATCAGAAGTAAGCACCCATAGTAGCAATATAGTAGCACTCTTCTTGTAGAGGGAGGCCAAAGGATATATCACAAGTGACAGTTTCTGTATTAAATGACACCCCTTCTACACTGCCATATAAAATCCGGTTATTATTATTATTATTATTATTATTATTATTATTATTAACTTTATTTGTACCCCGCTAGCATCTCCCGAAGGACTCGATGCGGCTTACACAGGCCGAAGCCTCAAACACAATACAATAGAAAACATAACACAACAATAAACAAAGCAAATCAAAACAATTAAGCAAAATAACAACAATGACAATACATCAATACATCAAGACACTATTAAAACTGGTTCGGCCAGCGCAATGGGGTACAGGGTTAAAAGTGCTGAGATGGCAGGAGGAACGTAGGATTAAAAGTGCGGTGTGCAGCAACATTGGTTGTGCTAAAGTGCTTCAAGGACTTGGGATGGGGGATTCCTAATCTGCGAAGGCACATTGGAACAGCCAAGTTTTTAGGTTCCTTCTGAAAACTGCTAGAGTAGGGGCCTGACGAAGCTCTTTTGGAAGGGCATTCCAAAGTCGGGGGGCCGCCACAGAGAAAGGCCTGTCCCGTGTCCCCACCAAGCGCGCTTGCGACGTAGGTGGGATCACGAGCAGGGCCTCCCCAGATGACCGGAGCGAGCGTGTGGGTTCGTAGATGGAGATGCGGTCACGCAGGTTATGTGTGTAGAACTGGATTATATGGAAGTGTAGACTTATACAATCCAGTTCAAAGCAGATCATGCGATTCTCTACTTTGATAATCTGGATTATACGGCAGTGTAGAAGGGGCCCAAATCCTCTACTGTGAATAAGCAAACCTCCTCTCTTCCTCCAGAAGCATTGGAAGAGGAAGCGGGAATCTCTCTATTTCCCACAGTTTCCTGCTGCATTTTTCTTATTCTGAGGAAAATATTGAGAGACTAAAAATATCTCAGGCAGGATATGAGGAAACAATGGGCTAGATAGGCATAAAATTACTTTATTAAAATGATATTTTTGTTAAAAGCCTCCTCTACATGGGTCAAATGAAAGAGGGGAAGCGTGAATGGACTTTGAGGCATCCACGTGTTGCAGAAGCCAATTAGCCCTACACAGTCTTGTCCCACATTTCTCAAAGTTTGGGAATGTCCTGGAGCTCCCCTAAAGTTCCAGATCCTCCATTTGTCATCTCAAACATTTTCTATGTAAAAAAAATATTTAGAAAATATTATCTACCAATTGGAATTATCTCCAAACCAAGGTCCATATAATGTCTCAACTATGGAGATAAGAAAGTATATAAATTTATAGGACACAATAAAAGATGTTATAATTTATTTCCTCTTTTCCCTCTCCAATATTTTTTTTCATTGTTATTTTGAACAATCATTCACAAACATGCATAAGCATACGAGAAGCTTGGTCTCTCCATGAACACTGAGAAAACCAAAGTTCTCCTCAACAGGCACCAGCCAATCCATCTGCAATGCCAGATATACAGCTTAATGGTGTAATATTAGAAAATGTTAAACATCTCCGCTACCTTGGAAGCCACCTCTCCACAAAAGTTCACATTGACACTGAAATAGAAAACTGTCTGAGCTCTGCAAGTGCTGCATTTTTCTTAATGAAGCAGAGAGTGTTTGAGGATTGGGACATCCGTAGAGATACCAAGGTGCTTGTTTATAAAGCTATTGTCCTCCCAATTGTACTATATGCTTGTGAAACATGGATTGTCTACAGACATAACACTAGACTCCTGGAATGATTCCATCAGCATTGCCTCCAAAAAATCCTGCAAATCTCTTGGGAAGACAGGCGAACAAATGTCAGCATGTTGGAAGAAGCAAAGACCACCAGCATTGAAGCGATGCTCCTCCACCATCAGCTCCGCTGACTGGCCACATTGTCCCAACAACCGATCACTATCTCCCAAAGCAGTTACTCTACTCCCTACTCAAGAACAGGAATTGTAATGTTGGTGAAAAGGAAAAGAGATTTAAAGATGGTTTTAAAGCTAACCTTAAAAACTGTGGCATAAACACTGAGCAATGGGGAACCCTGGACCTTGAGCGTTTTAACTGTAGGTCAGCTGTGACCAGCAGTGCTGCAAAATTTGAAGAGGCACAAATGGAGGGCAAAAGGGAGAAATGTGCCAAGAGAAGGCACGTCAAGCCAACCCTGACCAGGACTGCCTTCCACCTGGAAACCAATGTCATCACTTTGGAAAAACATATGGGTCAAGAATAGGGCTCCACAGCCACCAACAAGATACTTTACTTGGAGGACCATCATCCTCAAGCTATGAGGAATCGCCTAAGTAAGTAAGTAATAATGGAATTTACAACTTGCTTGATTCAAGAGTGCCTATTACAGCCTCATATAGTCAGAGTTTCTGCCATCTAAATTAGATAATTATTATCTTGGCAGCCAGTAAAATAACGTTCTTGTCTTGTGATGTGAAGACAGCAGCTGATAAAGTGAAGAAAGGAAGAATGGGCATGCATTGTTCTTACATTTTGTTGGAGGAACAGCACAATTTCATCCTATTTGGACCAGAGATTTGTACAAAGGCGTGAGCATCTTTTCTTGCAGTGAGAACAGCAAGAACAGCATTGCCTTTTGGAGACTTCAGGTGTGCTTACAGGAGCGTCTCTTCCCATGAACTGTAATTCCAGCACAGAACTCCATAGCACATTTCTTCTCATCACTATATCTGAAGATCCATTCTTTCACTCAGGTATGTGGGGAAGGAGGATCTATTTGAACAGATACACATTGTCATCTGTTACAGTCAATTGGACCTTCCATGAGATGGGCTGATAAATATGCATGAGATCTTTGGGACTGGAACCATGGCCAATGGACCTCTCACCCATCACATCAAGGGCACTGTATGCCTGGAAGTATTTTCAGAAAAATTGGTATAACATGGGTAGCAAGAATGTACTCCATGAAAATTACTCCACCCTCAGGGAGAATTGTTCGTTATTCTGCTGAGGAACTAGAAAGCAATTCTTCATCTGTCTCTTCTCTTATAGGAGCTGGGAAGTAATTTTTCCTTTGTCTGTTTCCTTGTAGGAGTGTGTTTTCCAGAATAAACCTTTGAAATGACAACATTCAGCAAGTCATCATTCTCTTCTGTGAATGCTTCCTTGGAATATAATGTAACCGAGAATATAGTGCATTATAATGGGTCACAAAATGAAAATACATTCCCTGACAATATCATCAGCCTCATCAATCTTCTCATCTGCCTTCCTGGACTTGTAGGGAACGGGATTGTCATTTGGCTTCTTGGCGTCCGTATTAAAAGGACTCCTTTCACCACATACATTTTGAACCTTGCCATTGCAGATTTTGCTGTACTCAACAATGAAATTATAAGAGATATTTTTTCTCTTTTAAGCTGGATTAATAGTAACTTTTTTCCTGTTTACTTTAGTTTCCTTAGCTATGACATATTTATGTTTACATTCACTACTAGTCAGTACCTCATGACAATCATCAGCATTGACAGATGTGTGTGCCTCTTCTTCCCACTTTGGCATCGATGTCACCGGCCACCACATTTATCCACTGCTGTGTGTGTCATTGTATGGATCTTCAGCTTCTTAACCAGTGCTATAGATCTCATTCTCCTTCTCGCTGGATATGCTATCATAACAAACATACAGTTTGTCTTGAATGCTGTGGTTTGCTTGCCCATCATGTGTGTGTCCACTACAGCCATTTTTATTAAATTCAGCTTAAGACCAGCACAAAAGAAGAAGGGAAAACTGTTAAGAACAATTTGGCTTACACTTTTCTTCTTCCTCCTTTTGGCTTTTCCATTAACTTTAGTTGAGGTCCTTTCTCTATTTCGTCATACAACGGAGTATTCGTATGGATATGGGTACATATGTGTCTTCTTAAACAGTGCAATTAACCCTATGATCTATTATTTGATGGGGAGAGATAAAAGAAGGTGTTCCAGCAAGCGAATCAATAAAGTGCTTGAGAAACTTTTCAAGGAAGAGGAAGACTGTTGAAAGAATCAGGAAATCTGATCCCAAACACTTATAAGGACCTTTTACAAGGTAGTTAGTCATTTGTAATTGTACAGTCTCAAATCCAACAATAGACAGGGTATAGGGTTTTTAACTTTAAAAATCCCACCCACTGTCACCAATTGCACAGACTGTTCTTAAGTTCTGCCACCAATTATACAGGTGTGGATGATTATGGATGTAATTAATCTCAGGCCTCAATAGTGTATAAGAATTTGTTATAGAGGAGGCCAATTATTACTTGTAAATTAAGGTAACTGCCACCAACATGAGGTATTGGAAGTACCACCGATGAGACCTGGCTCCACAGACACAGATTAATGGAGATGAGACGGTCTTCAACAAAAGTTAACAAGTTTATTATGTACAAAGCGTATGGTTGCAGGCTGTTAAATAACTTTGAATAACTTATAGAACTTTGTAACTTGGTTTGTAATACAGTCCACTCTTCCAGATGACACAACTCGTGAGTAACTTTTACTGAGGTGAAGCACTTTAATAAACAATGTTTCCTAATGTGAATAGCCTTCCAATTTGATCTTTTCTTGATCAAATCCCTGATCTCTAGTCCTTCCTTGACTAGTGATCTAAACAAGCTTCCTTTAGTCTACTTTAACTAAAGAAACTGGCTAGGTTTCTCCCTTCAGCCTTCTTAGACTGAAAAACCTTCAGCTATTCACACACACTGACTCTCCACTCTCCACTCCCAACTGCCAACTCCAACTGCCTCTTTTTTTCCAAAGATGCACCAAACATCTACTACTTGGCTCCGCCCACTTCTCACTCTCCTGCCTGGTCTCCTTGGCAACCTCACTGTGGATACAACCAGTTAACTCTAGTTTCAGCTACTGTTACCAACACAAATATATTCTAACAGTTAAACATATACATAGTATCAATGACTTCTGCACAGTAATGCATAAGAAAAAATGGATTCTAGATTTAATAATGTTTAGAAAGTATCATTTCCTTTGAACAGTCAATGAGATAGATATACACTTATTTCCAAAGTATGCAAATGTTACTTCTTAATATTACAATGCTCAGTCCCATCTAGCTTTCAAAGATTAAAGCATTTATTAATATAAGGAAGTAAAAAAAACCCCATAAAGTTTGCAGCTAGCACATCGGGTTAGATCACAAATTACTTGAATTCTCGTCAACCAGAAGGTCAGCAGTTCAAGCCGCAGGTTGGGGTGAGCTCCTGCTATCAGCCCCAGCTTCTGTGTACCTTGCAGTTCAAGAACCACAGTGTAGGTAAATAAATAGGTACTACTTTGGTGGTGAAGTAAAAGGCGCCCCTGAAAAACATGCCAGCTAATTTGATCCGGAAGGTATCCATGGACTTCAGCCTCTTCTGCATGGCAAATGAAACAACAGCACCTCCTCATGGCTGAGTCAAGCACAGCCTCCAGATGCCAGAGATGAAAAAGCAGGAAGCCTTGCCTTGATGTATTGTCTGTCTGTGTTATTCATTGTAAAATTGTGATGGAATGGAATGTTTGCTTTTATGTATTCTGTAAACTGCTCCGAGTGCCCTTGGGGAAATAGAGTGGAATGTAAATAAAGTATGTTATATTATTATTATTATTATTATTATTATTATTATTATTATTATTTGAAACACAATAAGATTGGGTCACAGCAAACAAGACCACTATGCTTATTATTATTATTCATACAAAAAATAAAAGTAAGTTTGACATAAGGATAAGCAGAGACATTGTCATAAGGTAACTTTCGCCACTTTAGCACAGAAAATCATGTTTAAGGAAATAATGTATTGAAAATTAGAGATGGTAGGTTAATGATATCATTTGTATATTTGAATAGTAGTGTCGGAGGTTTTAATCAAGGGAGATCCATATTAAGAAAGCCAAAAAATTAATTGGTTTGTTTGTGTGAAACCTACAGATCTCTTTTACGGAGATAAAAGAAACATAATTGCCATGGAGTTGTGTAGAGACAATATCTGTGAAATTAGACAAAATCTATAAATAGTTTTTGAAACTAGTGATTGAAGATGAACCAATGTAAGAATGCCGTTTGCTCTGGGCATAATGTCCATGGGAGAAAATGTGGTCAAAAGATCAACAATTTACTTTTGTGTGGTAATTTAAATGAAAACCTAAGTTATATGATTTATAAATTTGGTTTGATGCCAAATAAGTAGTGGTGTCCAAAGGTTTCATATCTTCTAATGGATATGCCAATATGCCAACAGAAGACTATTTGAAAGATTGAAATGGTTTTTGGTTTTGGTTTTTTAAAAATATGAAATCTAAAGATGTAACAGTAATTTATGTCTCTCATAATTATTAATTTAAGGAGGATTATATCATTACAATGGTATGGTATAACCATGGTATCAAAGCCATGGTATTCCCTGTAGTAACCTACGGATGTGAGAGCTGGACCTTAGGGAAGGCTGAGCGAAGAAAGATCGATGCTTTTGAGCTGTGGTGTTGGAGGAAAGTTCTGAGTGTGCCTTGGACTGCGAGAAGATCCAACCAGTCCATCCTGCTCACTGGAAGGAAGGATACTAGAGACAAAGTTGAAGTACTTTGGCCACATCATGAGGAGACAGCAAAGCCTAGAGAAGACAATTATGCTGGGAAAAGTGGAAGGCAAAAGGAAGAGGGGCCGACCAAGGGCAAGATGGATGGATGGCATCCTTGAAGTGACTGGACTGACCTTGAAGGAGCTGGGGGTGGTGACGGCCGACAGGGAGCTCTGGCGTGGGCTGGTCCATGAGATCACGAAGAGTCGGAAATGACTGAACGAATGAACAACAACATTTCATTACATAATATTGTAATATTTCCCTTTTTCTTGTCTTTACAGCTAGGATTATGGCTCAGGTGGCTACTGTATTTTAGTTATATATGTTTTTCTTTTTCTTCTCTTTCTTCCTTTTAATCTCCTATGAATTTTGTATAAGTTTATTTTCAAATGCATATTATTTTGATTGTAGGTTAGATTGCCAATGTTAAAATGAATCCATCAATAAATTGTAAGGGGAGCAAAAAAAGGAAGAAATACTCATCTTCTGATTGTTCCTCTTTCTTCTTCCTATTGTTGTAATGACACTGGGCAATTTTGAGGCTCTTAGTTTTATAATTTTAGTTATGAAAATGAACATGAGCTTTATATAAATACATGGCCAAAGACAAAAGGGCTACCACAGGCACTTGAACTAGGATCAGATAGAAATTATGTATTTGAATGTTGGCATATCCTATTCTGTCAGACTGGGATCAGCTCAAGTTCATACCACCAAGTTTGTGCTTAAGATGGTGAAAAGCCATTGATGCAAACATGGGTTTATTGGAGATAAATAAATGAAATATGAATTAATAAATAATTGATGAACAAACAAATAAAGAAAGAGTGCCACTAGTGGTCTATTTCGGAATAATTCCATATACTTTCCATTTGTTTCAGAGCCAGAGCTCTATTATAAATCACAGGCATTGATCCCATCCCAGGTTTACAGACTAACAGATCCCATCCCCGACTTACAGAAAAGCATCTCTTAGGTGGCTGGACTGCTCACGTTGTCCACATGCCTGATCATCATCTCCCGAACTAGTGATTTTACTCTCAGCTCAAAAACAGAATGTTGGTGGACAACAAAAGATATTTAAAGATGTGCTTAAAGTTGACCTACAGAAATTTGGCATACATACTGAGAACTGGGAAGTCCTGGGCCCTGAGTGTTGAAACTGGAAGTGTTACTAACTGTGCTATGAAGTTTGAACGAAAAACCATGCCAAGAGGAAGGCACATCAAGCAAACCCTTGTTGGGACCACCTTTCATCTTGAAATGTATGCTGAAAAACTTACAAACCCACCACCAAGATCATACACTTGGAAGGCAATCATACTCAGCCAGGAGTAATCAACTATAATAATAATATAGTAGCACTCTTCTTGTAGAGTGAGGCCAGAGCATATATCACAAGTTATAGTCTTCATATTAAATGAGGCACCTTCTACAATGCCAAATAAAACCTGATTATCTGCTTTGAACTGAATTATATGGCCATGTAGACTCATATATTGCTGTTCAAACAGATAGTGTGGATTATCTGATTTGAGAATGAATCTGGATTATACAGCAGTGTAGAAGGGGCCTGAATCCTCTACTGTGAAGAAGCAAACTTCCCCTTTTCCTCTAGAAGCATTGGAAGAAGAAGTTGAAATCTCTCTATTTCCCACAGTCTCTTGTTGCAGTTTTCTTGCTCTGAGAAAAATATTGAGGGACTAAAAATACCTCAGGCAGGAGAAGAGGAAACAATGGACTAGATAGGCACAAAATTAATTTATGAAAAGGATGATTTTTGTCAAAGGCCTCCTCTACACAGGTCAAATGAAAGAGGACAAGAGTGAATGTACTATTAGGTATGAAGCCAATTAACCCTACAGCCTTGTCCCATGTTCTCCAAAGTTAGGGAATGTCCTGGAGCTCCCCTAATGTTCCAGATCCTCTATTTCTCACCTGAAACATTTTCTCTGTGTTGAAAATATTATCTACCAATTGGAATTATCTCCAAACCAAGATCCATATAATGTCTCAACAATGGAGATAAGAAAGCATACGCATTTTATAGGACGTGTTAAAAGTTGTTACCATTAATTCTCACTCCCCCCCCATATGGAATTGACAACTTGCTAATAATGGAATTGACAACTTGCTTGACTCAAGAGCCTCATGTAGTCAGAGTTTCTGCCTTTAAACTCAGATGTTATCTTGATAGCCAGTAAAATAACATTCTTGTCTTGTGATGTGAACACAGCAACTGATGAAGTGAAGAAAGGACATGCATTGTTCTTCTTACATTTTGTTGAAGGAACAGCACAATTTCATCCCATGAATTTCGTGCAAAGGCATGAGCATATTTTCTTGCAGTGATTTTGAAGAACAGCAAGAACAGTGTTGCTTTATGGAGATTTGAGGTGTGCTTGCTTACAGGAGCGTCTCTTCCCACAACTTGTCATTCCAACACAGTACTCCATAGCATATTTCTTCTCATCATCTGAAGCTATATCCATTATTTCATTCAGGTATGTGGGGAAAGAGGGTCTTTTTGCACAAACAGACTCAATGACAACTGTTACAGTCACCTGGACCTTCCATAGGATGGGTTGATAAATCTGCATGAGATCTTTGGAACTGGAACCATGGCCAATGGACATGAGAAAGGACTGAAAAAAAATTATGGTTTCATTTTGTCAGCCTTAGGCAGTTTCCTTAGAAAGTTTCAGCCAGGCTCAGATTTTGGTGACCTTTGCTCTGGGTGCTTATACTATTAGCATTATTTTAATGCTTAAGCACAGACTTACACACATATCTCTGAGGTCTTCATAAACAGAGAGAGTTCTCTTGCAGTCTCTCGCATGCATAAACCCTTTCCAGTTATTCAAATACATTCAAATATCATCACTAGAAACAGACAAATTCCAGTTCTTATGTCCACTGCTATTGACCTCTAGTGGCACAGAGAGGATGGGTTTAGCAAATTCATCTGGTGCAGCCCCTACCCCCAAAGAGCCACTTTATTTCCCTGACGCAACACAGAAATTGGTAAGACACAATGGAATCAGCATAGGCTATATATCAGTACGGGATATCTCATAATGTCCATATATACAAATGTTGATACTTGATATTCGTTATACTTGACCATATAAAGTGAAGATTTCACATGAGATTTCACTTGTGGAAAAATATTTTGAAACACAGAGGAAATTTGAGATGCATTCCGTGAAAGGGGCTGGACCTAGATCTTGAATGTTGGTTTTCCTGATAATGGATTTCCTGAACATGTCATTGCTTCACCAATCTATCCCCCACCCCCCATTGTAGAATAATATAAAGCACCTCTCTGATTTTTTTCATATCCGAAGCTGTTTTCTCACTGCTGGATGGAGAACTTCCTTTGGTAGCAGAGAACCAACTATTTTAAAGGTTGTCATAGGGAAGTGGAAGCAGCTTGTTTTTTGCTGTCATGGAAACTAGGACTTGGAGCAATGGGTTCAAATTACAGGAAAGGAGATTCCATCTGAACATGAGAGCTGCTGACAGTTGAACTCTCTGCCTTGAAGTGTGATGGAGGCTCCTTCCTTGGAGGCATTTAAACAGAGGCTGGATAGCCATCTGTCAGAGATACTTTGAATGGCTGGAGGTTGGAGGTTGGAGGTTGGACTAAATGGTCCATGTTTTCCCTACCAACTGCATTATTTCATGATTCTGTTTTTCTAAATCCAAAACCCCTGAAGGACCTCAGGTCTCACTTTAACAAAAATAGACTCATTAACTAAATAATAGAATGGATACATTCTAATGTCCAGGGCATCACTCACCAACACTCTACTCTTGACCCCGGGGAGGGGGGAAGGTGCTGCCATACCTTTCCCCATTTCCTCCTACAACAAATATATAGTGGCAGCATAGATGACTTGATGGTGCAACTTCCTATTTCCAAGGTACGAGTGATGGTCCGCCCTCATCAGAAGCCTGATTGTTACTTCCTAAGTAGTGCAGACATTCTGCTACCATTTGAATCTATGACTAGAAGTAGAGCTGGACCTAGAAAGCCCCCTCACCCACCGGAACAAGGGCACTGTATGCAATGAAGTATGTTCAGAAAAATTGTTATAAGACAGTAAGAAAGTACTCCATGAAAATGACTCCAGCCTGTGGATGAATTGTTCATTATTCCACAAAGGAAAGTAATTCTTCCTCTGTCTCTTCTCTTTTAGGAGCATCTATTCCAAAATAAACCCCCATCTATGATTTACCTAAACATGAATATAAGAGAAGAGAGAGACTCAAGACTGTAGATTGATTGTCCTTTATTCTGCTACAGAGCTGGAAAGTAATTTTTCTTTTGTCTCTTCCCTTGTAGGATTTGTGTGTACTCCAGAATAAACCTTCAAAATGCCAGCATTCAGCAAGTCACTGTTCTCTTCTCTGAATGAATCTTTGGAATATAATTAATCTGATTATATAACAGATTATAATGATTCACAAAATGATAATACATTCCTAGACATTACCAATTATATTTATATAATAAGCATCATTTCACTTCTCATCTGCCTTCCTGGACTTGTAGGGAATGGGATTGTCATTTGGCTTCTTGGCTTCCGTATTAAAAGGACTCCCTTCACCACATACGTTTTGAACCTTGCCATTGCAGATTTTGCTGTGCTCATCAATGAAATTATTACAGATGTATTTATCTTAAATAATCCTAACTTTTTTCCTTATTACTTCTATTTCTTCAGCCATGCCATATTTATATTTACATTCACTACTAGTCAGTATTTCATGGCAATCATCAGCATTGACAGATGTGTGTGCCTCTTCTTTCCACTTTGGCATCGATGTCACCGGCCACCACATTTATCAACCTGTGTGTGTGTCATTGTATGGATCCTCAGCTTCATAACTACTTTTATTACTCTCTCTCTCCTTTTCTATGAATATGTAATCATCGCGTACTTCCAGTTTTTCTTGAATGCTGTGGTTTGCATGCCCATCATGTGTGTGTCCACTGTAGCCATGTTTATTAAATTCTGCTTAAGAGCACCACAAAAGAAGAAGAGGAAACTGTTAAGAACCATTTGGCTTACGCTTTTCTTCTTCCTTCTTTTTGGTGTTCCAATTAATACAATTCAGATTCTTTCTCTAACCCATCTTCAAACTCTATATTTGTATGGATATGTCCACATATGTCTCCTCTTAAACAGTGCCATTAACCCCATGATCTATTACTTGATGGGAAGAGATAAAAGAGGGAGATCCAGCAAGCAAATTAAGAAAGTGCTTGAGAAACTTTTCAAGGAAGAGGAAGATTGTACAGAGAATCAGGAAATGTGATCCCACACACTTATAAGGACCCTTTAACAAGGTAGTTCGTCATTTGTAATGCGTAAGAAAAAGTGGATTCTAGATTTAGTAATGTTTAGAAAGTATTAATTCCTTTGACAAGTCAATGAGATATATACCCTTATTTCCATAGTATGCAAATGTTGCTTCTTAAGATTGCAATGCTCAGTCCCATATAGCTTTCCAAGATTAAAGCAGTTGTTATTAATACAAGGAAGTGATAAAAATAGTTAAGGCCACAGCTAGCACAGCGGGTTAAACCAGAAATCTTGTCAACCAGAAGGTCAGCAGTTGGAGCCGCAGGCCAGGGTGAGCTCCTTCCAACAGCCCTAACTTCTATGGGGAGGCAAAAGGCACCCCTGAAAAACTTGCCAGCTAATTCAATCAGGAAGTCATCTATGGAAAATGGAACATCAGCACCTCCCCATGGCCGAGTCAAGCACAGCCTCCAGATGCCGGAGATGAAGAAGTGGGAAGCTTTGCCTCTATGTCTTGTCTGTCTCTGTTATTAATTGTGATGGCATGGAAGGTTTGCCTTGTATGTATTCTGCAATCTGCTCTGAATCCCCTTGAGGAGATAAAGCAGAATAAAAATAAAGTATGTTACATTATTGTTATTATTGTTATTCATACCAAGCATAAACAACATTTCATTAGAAAGTCTGCCCTGCAAGTTTGACATAAGGATAAGCAGAGACATTGTCATAAGATAACATTAGCACAGAAAATCATTTTTAAGGAAAGGATGTGCTGAAAATTAGAGATGGTTGGTTGATAATATCATTTGTATATTTGAACCTTATAGTCAGAGGTTTCAATCAAGGGAGATAAACCTTAAGGAAGGCAAAGAACTTCATTGGTTTGCTTATGTGACACCTAAGGATGGGTTTTCTCAAGATAAGGGAAATGTAGCCGTGGAGTTGTGTATAGACAATAACCACAGAGTTAAACAAAATCATAGAATCATAGAATCAAAGAGTTGGAAGAGACCTCATGGGCCATCCAGTCCAACCCCCTGCCAAGAAGCAGGACTATTGCATTCAAATCACCCCTGACAGATGGCCATCCAGCCTCTGTTTAAAAGCTTCCAAAGAAGTAGCCTCCACCACACTCCGGGGCAGAGAGTTCCACTGCTGAACGGCTCTCACAGTCAGGAAGTTCTTCTTCATGTTCAGATGGAATCTCCTCTCTTGTAGTTTGAAGCCAATAGAAAATCTATAAATAGTTTTTGAAAGTAGTGATTGGAGATGAACCAATATAAGAATGATGTTTGTTCTGGGCATAATGTCCATATGTGGTATGGGAGAAAAGATGGTCAAAAGATCAACAATTAACTTTTGTGTGGGCATTTAAATGAAAACCTAAGCAATATGATTTATAGATTAGGTGTAATCCCAAATAAACTGATGAAATGTTTCCAAAGCTTTCAAAGCTTAAAGGATATGCCAACAGAAGACTATTTAAAAGACTGAAATGGTTTTTGGTTTTGATTTTTAAAAAGATGAATTTAGATTTCATCTTTTTAAAAACCAAAACCAAAAACCATTTCTTTAGATAACAATAATTTGTGTCTCTCTTGATTATTAATTTAAGTAGGATTATGTCATTACATTTTAAAGGGAGTAATATTTTCCCTTTTTCTTGTCATTACAGCTAGGATTGTGGCTCAGGTGGCTGGCTACTGTATTTTAGCTATATACGTATGTTTTTCTTTCTTTTCTCTTTAATCTCCTATGTGTTTATTTTTAAATGTATATTAATTTGATTGTAAATTAGAATGCCAATGTTAAAATCAATCTATCAATAAATTGTGAGTGGAGCGATAAAGAAAGAAGTAACTGTGTTCTGTTTGTTCTTTTTTCTTCTTCCTATAGTTATAATGACACTGGGTGATCTTGAAGCTTTTAGTTTTATCATGTTAGTTATGAAAATGAACATGGGCTTTCTACAAATTCACTGCCAAAGACAAAAGGGCTACCACAGACTCTTGGACCAGATAGGAATGATGCATTTGAAGGCTATCATATTCTATTCTGTCAGGTGGGGGGGGGGGGATCTCAAGTTCATGCCACCAAGTATGTGCTTAAGATGGTGAAAAGCCATTGGTGCAAACATGGGTTTATTGGAGGTTAATAAATTAAATTATAAATAAATAAATAAATAAATAATTGATGAATGAACAAATAAAGAATGAGTGCCATTAGTGGTCCCTCACAAAAGAAATCCATATACCTTTCCAGTTGTTAGCAAGCAAGGACTCTACTATAGAATCCATTAGTTACGGGCACTGAGCCCATCCCAGACTTACAGAAAAGTATTTCTCAGCTGGCTGAACTGGCCAAGACATCCAAATGTCTGATCGCCATCTCCCAAAGTAGTGATATTACTCTCAGTTCACAAACAGAATGTTGGTGGACAACAAAAGAAATTTAAAAATGGGCTTAATGTTGACCGACAGAAATTTGGCATACACACCGAGAACTGGGAAGTTCTGGCTCCCGAGTGTTGGAACTGGAAGTGTTACTAACTGTGCTATGAAGTTTGAATGAATAAAGGAAAAAACATGCCAAGGGGAAGACACATCAAGCAAACCCTTGTTGAGACCACCTTCCATCTAGAAATGTATGTCCTCATTGTGAAAAACAATGCAGATCCTTAATAGGTCTCTCCAATCAATTACAAACCCACCACCAAGATCCTACACTTGGAAAGCAACCATACTCGGCCAGTAATCGACAATAATAATAATAATAATAATAATAATAATAATAATAATAATATAGTAGCACTCTTCTCGTAGAGTGAGGCCAGAGGATATATCACAAGTGGTAGTCTTCATACTAAATGAGGCCCTTCTACACTGCCAAATAAAATGCAATTATCTGCTTTGAACTGGATTATATGGCCATGTAGACTCATATATTGCAGTTCAAAGCAGATAATGTGGATTATCTGATTTGATAATCTGGATTATACAGCAGTGTAGAAGGGGCCTGAATCCTCTACTGTGATGAAACAAACCTCCCCTCTTCCTCTAGAAGCATTGGAAGTGGAAGATGAAATCCCTCTATTTACCACAGTCTCTAACTGCACTTTTCTTATTCTGAGAAAAATATTGAGAGACTGAAATATCTCAGGCAGGAGAAGATGAAACAATGGACTACATAAGCACAACATTAATTTATGAAAAGGATTATTTTTGTCAAGGCCTCCTCTACACGGGCCAATTTTTTCTTCTTCTTTTTTTTGCTGTGTCAGGAGCGACTTCAGAAACTGCAAGTCACTTCTGGTGTGAGAGAATTGGCCATCTGCAAGGACGTTGCCCAGAGGACACCCAGATGATTTGATGTTTTTATCATCCTTGTGGGAGGCTTCTCTCATGTCCCGACTTTGGGGAGATAGAGCTGACAGAGGGAGCTCGTCCGCCTCTCCCCGGATTCAAACCTGGGACCTGTCGGCCTTCAGTCTTGCCGGCACAGGAGTTTAACCCACTGCTCCACTGGGCCAAATGAAAGAGGACAAGAGTGAATGCACAATGAGGTATGAAGCCAATTAACCCTACAGTCTTGTCCCACATTCTCCAAAGATAGGGAATGCCCTGGAACTCCCCTAACATTCCAGATCCTCAATTTGTCACCTGAAGCATTTTCTATGTGTTGAAATTATTATCTACCAATTGGAATTATCTCCAAACCAAGATCCATATAATGTCTCAACTATGGAGATAAGAAAGCATACACATTTTATAGGACGTGTTAAAAGTTGTTATCAATAATTCACTCTTCTCCCCCCCCCCATATTTTTTATTATTGTTCTGAACAATCATGCTCAGAAATGTGTATCGAATAATGGAATTGACAAGTTGCTTGACTCAAGAGTGCCTACTACAGCCTCACTTAGTTAGTTTCTGCCTTTAAACTCAGATGTTATCTTGATTGCCAGTAAAATACTGTTCTTGTCTTGTGATGTGAACACTGCAACTGATGAAGTGAAGAAAGGAAGAATGGGCATGCATTGTTCTTCTTACATTTTGTTGAAAGGACAGCACAATTTCATCCCATTCGGACTTGAATTTTGTGCAAAGGCATGAGCATATTTTCTTGATATTGAAGAACAACAAGAACAGTGTTGCCGTATGGAGATTTGAGGTGTGCTTACAGGAGTGTCTCTTCCCATAACCTGTCTTTCCAGCACAGAACTCCATAGCAAATTTCTTCTCATCACTATATCTGAAGATATATCCATTCTTTCACTCAGGTATGTGGGGAAGGAGGGTCTTTTTGCACAGAGACTCAATGACAACTGTTACAGTCAACTGGACCTTCCATAGAATGGGTTGATAAATCTGCATGAGATCTTTGGGACTGGAAACATGGTCAATGGACATGAGAAAGGAATGAAAAAATATATGGTTTGAGTTTATCACCCTTAGGCAGTTTTACTTGGAAGGTTTTAGCTAGGCTAAGATTTTGATGACCTTTGCACTGGGCACTTATACTATTAGCATTATTTTAATGCTTAAGCACAGACTTACACACATTTCTCTGAGGTCTACATAAACAGAGAGAGTTCGCTTGCATTTTCTCTCATGCATAAACCCTTTCCAGTTATTCAAATACATACTTAGATAGAAAGTCCTAGAAACAGTCCAAATGCACTGCTCCTCACATCAACAAACGATTGAGCATTGCTATTCTTTCTTCATTCCCAATAAGCTTGCTATCTGCTGTTCCTGATAGTAATACACAAAGCAATGGATTCAAGCTAATGGGAAATTCCAACTAAGGTTAAGAACTTCCTGATGGTAAGAGCTGTTTGGCAGTGGGAGATGCTGCCTAGGAGTGTAGAGTAATTTACTTCTTTGCAAGTTTTTAAGCAGAGGCTGAATGGCCAGCCGTTGGAAGAGCTTGGGTTGTGTATTCCTGCTTGGCAAAATGGAGGTTGGACTGGATGGTCCTTGGGACCTTTTTCAGCTCTATGGACCAAGTTGTTCAGAAGTGTGGCTTGCAACTAAATATCTGCTTGGAAGTTGTTTCTGATTTAGGGCAACTGAAACTCTCATGGGGTTTTCATAGAATCATAGAATCAAAGAGTTGGAAGAAACCAGACTACCTCTGGTTGTTCTTTTAATATGATTTTGTTGTCTCTACTTTGTTATCATCCTTAACAGTTCCTCAAAAGTGATCTCTTCATTCTCACCACTTCCCTATACAATGATCTTTTTGTGATCACATTAAAACTTTTTGTTAAGGTGGAGACATGTTAAGAACGTATATAGGTATTCAAGATACTTTATCATATGATATTACTGTGTCCTTTTTGCAACATCTTGTTTGATAAAGGAGTCTGGAGATATCAAAAGCTGGCCAACTCTTTTAAATGTCCCTCATTGATATGGAAATAAAACAAAAGGGATTAAAATGTGAACAAAATTATACAGATCAGAAGAAATACACTCGACTTGGTCTTTTTGTTTTGCCCATCAAGGCTTGCTTAAATGATGAAGCAGGACTGATCATGAGGGGTGTGCAAAATATTATTTTAGTGTCTTGGATTCCAGCAATTTGAGAGATTCTGGTGTCTTGGATTCCAGCAATTCAAGAGATTCATCTGCTGAATGCATGAAAATGATTCTGGTGGGGAGCAGCCAAAGCTTTAGCCAAAAGGGATCCGAATAACTAGATCTTTTTGGCTAAAGGGGGCTAATGGGGCTTAGTAGCACTGTACCTGACACAGAGGAGGTGTGTGGGTACGACAGCCTCACAAATCAGGCAACCTGTGGCTCCTCCTGTTTTCTTACCAGACAGGTTCCTCCATCCCTTCCTCATGACCCCCCCCCCCCCTTGTGTCTGCTTGAGGCAAATTGCAATTCTCATTCCTAGTGGCACTTCGTGTGGGAAAGACAATGGCCGATTCCAACCTGCCCAATTCTGCATTCCTGGAATTATGGTAAACGGTATTGTACAAAGTGTAAACATCTGTCATTAGAACTTCCTGACTGTAAGAGCTGTTCACCATTGGAACTCTCTGCCTCAGAGTGTCGTGCAAGCTCTTTCCTTGGAGGAAGGAGCTGGATGGACATCTGCCAGAGGTACTTTGATTATGCTTTTCCTGCATAGCTGGGAGTTGGACTATATGATCCATGTGGTCTGTTCCAACTGTATTATTCTGTGATTGTATGATTCTAAGTCCAAAATACCTGGAGGGCCACCTGGCTCAAAATGACACAGACTGAAAGAGACTTATTAACTAACTAATGGGACAGATACATTCTACAGCATCACTCCCCAACATTCTACTCTTGACCCTGGGGAGGGGGGAAGGTGCTGCCATACTTTTCCCCAGCTGCTCATCCTACAAATATATAGTCACAGCACAGATGACTTGATAGTGCAACTCCATCTTCCTGAGCACTAGTGACAGTCCACCCTCATCATAAGCCTGATTATTACTTCTTAAGTTGTGCAGACTTTCTGCTACCCTTTGTATCAGTGACTAGAAGCAGAGCTGGACCAAGAAAGCCCCCTCACCCACCACAACAAGGGCACTGTATGCCTGGAAGTATTTTCAGAAAAGTTGGTATAACACAGGCAGCAAGTAAGTACTCCATGAAAATTACTCCACCTTGAAGGTTCACTGTTCATTATTCTGCTGACAGCAATTCTTCCTCTGTCTCTTCTCTTATAGGAGCATCTACTCCAAAATAAACCTCTAATTATGCTTTACCTAAGCATGAATATAAGGGAAGAAAAAGACTCCAGGCTGTAGATTGATTGTTCTTTATTCTGCTGCAGAGATGAAAAGTAATTTTTCTTTTGTCTCTTCCCTTGTAGGATTGTGTGTACTCCAAATAAACCTTCGGGATGACAACACTCAGCAAGTCACTGTTCTCTTCTCTGAATGAATCTTTGGAATATAATGAATCTGATTATTTAACAGTTTATAATGATTCACAAAATGGAGATACATTCTCTGACAACTGGGCTGATGGTTTCTATATCATAAGCCTTATCAATCTTCTCATCTGCCTTCCTGGACTTGTAGGGAACGGGACTGTCATTTGGCTTCTTGGCTTCCGTATTAAAAGGACTCCCTTTACCACATACATTTTGAACCTTGCCATTGCAGATTTTGCTGTGCTCAGTAATGAAATTATTAGAGATATATATTCTCTTTTAAACTGGATTAATCCTATCTTTTATTTTCTTTACTTCAATATATTCTACCTTTGGATCTTTCTGTTTACCTTCACTGCTAGTCAGTACCTCATGACAATCATCAGCATTGACAGATGTGTGTGCCTCTTCTTCCCACTCTGGCATCGATGTCACCGGCCACCACATTTATCAACCTGTGTGTGTGTCATTGTATGGATCCTCGGCGGCTTAACTCCTGCTATGACTTTCACTCTTATTTTCTATGAATATGTTATCACCGCGTACTTCCAGTTTTTCTTAAATGCTGTGGTTTGCATGCCCATCATGTGTGTGTCCACTATAGCCATGTTTATTAAATTCTGCTTAAGACCACCACAAAAGAAGAAGGGGAAACTGTTAAGAACCATTTGGATTACACTTTTCTTCTTCCTCCTCTTTGCTTTTCCATTTAATATCATGCACCTTTTTCCTGTATTACTTCATCAAACTAAGTATTCGTATGGATATGGCTACATTAGTGTCTTCTTAAACAGTGCCATTAACCCCATGATCTATTATTTGGTGGGAAGAGATAAAAGAGGGAGATCCAGCAAGCAAATCAATAAAGTGCTTGAGAAACTTTTCAAGGAAGAGGAAGACTGTCGAGAGAATCAGGAAATCTGATCCCAAACACTTATAAGGACCCTTTAACAAGGTAGTTAATCATTTGTCATGCATAAGAAAAGATGGATTCTAGATGTAGCAATGTTTAGAAAGCATTATTTCCTTTGAAAAGTCAATGAGATATATGCACTTATATCCAAAGTATGCAAATGTTACTTCTTAAGATTGCAATTTTCATTCCCACCTAGCTTTCAAAGATTAAAGCAGTAGTTATTAATACAAGGAAGGAATAAAAACAATTAAGGCTGCAGCTAGCACAGCGGGTTAAACTGCCAGCTACTGGGAATCTTGTTAATTGGAAGATCAGCAGGTCAAGCCATGGGTCGGGGTAAGCTCCTGCTATCAGCCCTAGCTGCTGTGTACCTTGCGGCTCGAAAACCCCAATGTAGCTAAATAAATAGGTACTGCTTTGGTGGTGAAGTAAAAGGCACCCCTTAAAAACATGCCAGCTAATTCGATCAGGAAGGCATCCATGGTCTTCATCCTCTTCTGCATGGAAAATGAAACAACAGCACCTCCCCATGGCTGAGTCAAGCACAGCCTCCAGGTGCCAGTGATGAAAAAGCAGTAAGCCTTGCCTTGGTGTATTGTCTGTCTGTGTTATTCATTGTGAAATTTTGACAGCATGGAATGTTTTCTTTTATGTATTCTGTAAACTGTTCCGAGTGCCCCTGGGGAGATGAATATAAATAAAGTATGTTATAATATTATTATTTGAAACACAATAAGATTGGGACACAGCAAACAAGATCACTATGCTTATTATTATTATTCATACCAAATATAAAAATCCTTTCATTACAAAGGATCTCCTTCAAGTTAAGGATAAGCAGAGACATTGTCATAAGGTAACATTAGCTACTAGGCCTGTTTGATCAAGAAAAAATTTGTTTCTAAAATCAATTTGTAATTGGGGTGTTTTTTTGTTTCGATATTTAAAATATTTACAAAACTTTCCAAAAATGTTTTGTTATTTACGAAATTTCGTAAATATTTACAAAACATTTTGTAAGTGTGAATGTTGCAGTTGGTCACCTTGATTAGCATTGAATGGCTTTCATTTCTCCCACCCTGGACATTCCATAGATATTAGATAAACTCCATTTGCCTAGTTTCCAACAGACCTCTGAGGATGCCTGCCATAGATGTGGGCAAAATGTCAGGAGAGAATGCTTCTGGAACATGGTCAACATACAGCCCTGAAAACTGAAAAGAAAACTCACAAGAGCCTGGATGCAGCCTTCAAGATGGTATTGGTCTCCCTGCGCTCCGGCTCCGGCTCCTGCGCCCTCCTCCTCCTCCTCCCAGCTGTGTTGCAGGAAGCGCTCACCCTTACAACCGGCCTCCGCGCGCCATCCAATCGGCTCCGGCTCCTGCGCCCTCCTCCTCCTCCTCCCCCCCCCAGCTGTGTGGCAGGAAGTGCCAGGAGGAGGAGGAGGAGGAGGAGGGCGCAGGAGCCGGAGCCGATTGGATGGCGCGCGCGCTCGGCTCCGGCTCCTGCGCCCTCCTCCTCCTCCTCCTCCTCCCAGCTCAGCTGTGTTGCAGGAAGTGCCAGGAGGAGGAGGAGGAGGAGGGCGCAGGAGCCGGAGCCGATTGGATGGCGCGCACGCGCGGCTCCGGCTCCTGCGCCCTCCTCCTCCTCCTCCTCCTCCCAGCTCAGCTGATAAAGACGGGGGGAGGAGGAGGAGGAGGAGGAGGGCGCAGGAGCCGGAGCCGATTCGATGGCGCGCGGAGGCCGGTTGTAAGGGTGAGCGGAGCGCTTCCTGCAACACAGCTGGGAGGAGGAGGAGGAGGGCGCAGGAGCCGGAGCCGATTGGATGGCGCGCGGAGGCCGGTTGGATGGCGCGCGGAGGCGCGGAGGCCCCGCCCGCCCCATTTACAAAACGGGCGAAAGCTCGTAAATACTGTGGGAGTTGCTGTTTCGATATTTAAAAACCCTTCCGGGTTTAAAAATGTGTTTTGAAATCGCGTCGGATATGGTAAAAATAACGAATTAATAACGAAATAACGAAATAACGAACGAAACCGCACAGGCCTATTAGCTACTTTGGCACATACAATCATTTTTAAGGAAATAATTTATTGAAAATTAGAGATGGTTGGTTGATGGTATCATGTGTATAATTGAACAGTATAGTTGGACGTTTCAGTGAAGAGAGAGCAATCTTAAGGAAGGCAAATAACGTAATTGGTTTGGTTTGTTGAAACCTAAGGATGGGTTTTATTGAGATAAAGCAACTCTAATGGCTTTTCTTTGCATTCACTCGTCACCTTCCCTATTCTATTCCAGTTCTTATGTCCACTGCTTTTGACCTCTAGTAGCATAGTGAGAATGGGTTTGGCAAATTCATCTGGTGCAGCCCACACCCCCAAAGAGCCACTTTATTTCCCTCATACATCACAGAAATTGGTAAAACACTAAACACTATATATCAGTATAGGATATCTCATAATGTACATATATGGAAATGTGGATACTTGATACTCCTTATACTTGACCATATAAAGTAAAGATTTCACATAAGATTTCACGTGTGGAAAAACATTTCGAAACACACAGGAAATTTGAGATGCAGTCCGTGAAAGGGGCTGGACCTAGATCTTGAATGTTGGTTCTCCTGATAATAGATTTCCTGGAAGAATCGTTGCTATACCAATCTAATCCCCCACCACCAATAATATAAAGCACTTCTCTGACTTTTCCTATCTGAAGCTGTTTTCTCACTGCTGGATGAAGAACTTCCTCTGGAAGCAGAGAACTGACAATTATCCAAAGTCTAGAAGGAGAACATCTCAATCCTTCCAACTTGCACTTGGGAGCAAACAGACGTGACTGGGACAAGGTAGGACATTCTGTGCAGTAATTTTTTTCATCCCGCAAAATTCTTCCTTTCTCTGGTTCACCCATGTCCATCTCCTTTCACATTCCTGGTTAAACCCTGCAATGAATTTTGGTTAACTGATATCTTTCTCAAAAAGATATTGAACCAAATCCAAGGGCTTTACCTCAGATTCTCCCCTCACCTTCTCTATTCTGTTCTAGTTCTTATGTCCACTACTTTTGAATTCTGACAAGGCAGAGATGCTGGACATTGGAAAATTCATCCATTTCATCTCCTGCCCCTAAATGGCCACTTCTTTCAGCACATAGCCATGGAATAGGAACCGGGGAACCACCCTTTCCGATGAGTGATAAATATATAGGATTGGACATTAACTCACACAGCAGTGACATTTGGTTGAAGGCTGCAATTTCCTCACCCACAGAAGCCTGGCATACAAATTTCCAAGATGGATGCAGTGGATGGGATAGGCTGGACTTCTGACACAGGCTGGGATTGCTGCTGCTGCTGCTGCTGCACCACGGGCCTAGTGATGTCCTCAGGTGTCTCATCATGTGGCGGTGCTGTGGGTTCAACTCCTACTCATGTCTTGTCAACTCTGTCAGCTTCTAAAGCAGAAACACAAGAAAGAAGGGTTTAAAAATAATTGCCTTGCTTGCCCGCCGCGCTGGCCAGGGGCCAGTGGTTGGGGCCAACTGTCCCCTTTCTTTTTCTAAATTGTTGACATGAGCTAATAGGGCATTAAGCTAATAGGGCATTAAGAAGTGCCCTTGTCTTCAGATGGTGAAATATTGGGGGGAAAGAGGGTGTATTTTCAGCGTCTTCTTGGCCACTCCCTTACTCTTTGGGCCACCCACGTTTTTCTTAGGAGGCATCCTGTAAACAAACAGATATTCAAATTGATAAGTATGCATCCCAACCAACATTAGAAGGAACAAGAAGATTGCTATGTGGGCCTCCTCACTCCTACATGGGTGATGGCCAGGGTCTATAAAACTTTGGTTATATGAGGGCAAGCATAGGCATTGGGGCACTCATAATATGTTTGTCCTACCCATTGGTTTTTAAGATTATTAGGCCATTCCAATATTCATTGTAATTTGTTGTGTTAGACCTTATGTCTTCACCATTTGTAGTGATTGGTTTGTTCATGTCTTCGTAACTATGAATACAGATTAAATGTTTTCCTATGTGTGGCACTAAGGGCATACATGCTCATGTAATTAACAAATGACTTGTTCATCAAATGTCCTATAAAAAGGCAATTATTTTATTCATTCACTTGAGTCTATCCCTGGGTTTTTTGTTATTATTATTAGTTTTGTTTAGTTATCTTTGTGTGTTTGTGTGTCTATTCATCCTTTTCTCATATATATATATATATATATATATATATATATATATATATATATATATGAGCCCCCTGCTGAGCTTGTTGACTGAAATGTCGCAGGTTCGAATCTGGGGAGCGGCATGAGCTTCTGCTGTCAGCTTCAGCTTCTGCCAACCTAGCAGTTTGAAAAAATACAAATGTGAGTAGATCAATAGGTACCGCTTTGGCGGAGAGGTAACGGTGCTCCATGCAGTCATGCCAGCCACATGACCTTGGAGGTGTCTACAGACAATGCCGATCTTCGGCTTAGAAATGGAGATGAGCACCACACCCACACCCCAGAGTCGGACATGACTGGACTTAATGTTATGGGGAAACCTTTACTTTTACCATGTGTGTGTGTGTGTGTGTGTGTGTGTATCCTGTAGGCATATCAGCATAATGGCCAAATTGTCTCTGAAAGGCTGTAAAAGATGGCTGCCTGGCTACAAGTCTTGTAGCTAAGATGGCTGCTAGCTAAAAATATTCAACTTGTCCACCAGCCATGCAGTCAAGATGGCAGCAGCCATGTGCAGGGGGCATGCAGGGGTGGATGTCTGCCTTGTCATTGAAGGCACAGCCAGTTCGATGGTTTGCCTGAACTGCGGCCGGCTGAGGATATTTTAGGCCAGGTAATGTCGGGGAATGCCAACTCCGTTGGGACTCGGCCCACAGCAACTACTGGCTCCCATGCCAGGAAGTAATAATGGAAAGGGGAAAGGGAGGCGACACTGTTTTGTGCAGCAATAAGGCTGGCATGACCCAATGGACAACTACAAAAGGGGGGAGCTGGTGCAAAGCACAGCAGTGAAATGAAACTTTGT